GGCCCCAGTGTGTGCATGTGTGTGTGCGTGTGTGTGTGTGCGTGTGTGTGTGCGTGTGTGTGTGTGTTCGTCTATCCGGGTATTTCAACTCGGCAACCACGCAAGCTCCGGCGTCGAAATTCTGTCGGTGAGTTCCTCGGTAAAGTGCCACCCTAGAATCGCGGTACCGACCCACGAGCAAGTCTGGGCCACGCGTATGAGCGCGTGGAATTTTCGGCGGGAAAACTGCTAGCTCGGAACCAGAAAAGCTGAAAAGCTGAAATTTTGAGATTATGTTCCCCGTCTACATAGGACTCAAAAATTACAAATTCAGCCCCCAGGTGTGCGTGATCCCCGCGTACGGCCCCGTGAGGGTTCCTGACGGGAAAAGCGCTAACTTGGGAACCAGGAAGGTTGAAAGGCTGAAGTTTTAAGGGCATGTTTCCAGCCCAAGCACAGCTTAAAGTTATTAAAATCAGCCCCTCGGTGTGCGTGATTTTTATGTACGGCCCCGTGAAAGTTTTTGGCGGAAAAATGACTAGCTCGAGGACCAGGAAAGCTAGGAAACTGGAAACTTAAAGAGGTGTTCCCAGCCCAAGCACATCTTAAAGTTTTCAAACTTAGCCCCCAGTTATGCCCCCAGGTCAGGCACGGCCCCGTGAAAGTTTGGTGGGAAAATTATTAGCAAGCGAACTAGAAAAGTTGGAAAATTGAAACTTTGACGGAATGTTCCCTCCCCAAGTACCACGTAGTTGTACTATTCCTGAACTCTGAGGACCAGTATTTCACAATTTCTAGCTACTGGGTTTCGGAGCGATGTTACTCAGCACGAAATACTGCAGAAACGCATGATAGCGCGAGCCCGTCTGGCGCGAGTCGCCAGTGATTTTCGTTTTTCGGGATTGAGTCATCCTAGCAGATAAATCCTCCTCATAGCTCACATGCAGACGCATAGCATCGCGATTACGCAGCTTTGTTTTATGCAAAATCGCACAATTCAAAACTGATGGTTAACAGACCATGGATTTTCTGTCAAATGATCCAAAAGACGGTTGCACTACACCGCGGTTTTTTGAGTCATCTGGTTGATGCCAGGCTTCGTTCTGCTGTTTGCCCCATTCTAGCATTATAACATTAGCTCAGACTTGTGTATGAGATCATAACTGTGCGCACATTATTAAAAATCGTGCTGATTTTGGGTTAAGTACAGACATCGCCATAATGGTTGCGAAAACACATAAAACTATTGAAACTCCAAGATGCAAGAAAGAAATTTTAAGCAGCACTCTACAGCATAATCCTGCTTGAGAACTGAGGATATTCCTCAAAGTTGCGAGTGAATTTTCTTGACCAGTTTGACGAAATAACAAAGGAAAAGACTTATTCGTCTCTTTCCGAAACTAGCCCTCTTTACCCATTCCTCTCCAGCCGTTGCGCTCCTCCAAAAACGCTCCATAAACGCAACCTGAAGAGTCTTCTGCACGGTTTTGAACCTTATGTCAGTGGGAGAGGCCAGAACGAACAGCCAGTAATATCAATCTCAACATAGGCTTTAGGCTGTCTTTTTAGACCGCGAACTGGTAATACTTGGTGAGGGTTATTTAGAAGTCCAAAAATTACAGTGCTGTACAAAGGAAATTATGATACCTCCTATGACATTCCTGATTGGTTCGCGTGCAGGCGAAAAACCTTCGATAGCAGGTACCACTGCTACACCGGGGTTAATTCCATCAATCACAGATACATCTGCTTGGCTGGACACGCATAATAATAAGCTCAAACATATCATCAAGAAACTTAACTGGAGCCCAGAGCAAGCGTTGGAGCTCCTGCGATGCAATTCAGTCCTGGACAGGTGTACTTTTAGTATCCTCATAATATGAAAAAGTGACATTTCACGTCCTACTCCAATTAGCCGACAGATGCGCAGCAGCGTACGCTGTAGTGTAGTACAAACCCGTCCAAGAAAATCATCCAGAAATTTTACAGATACGAACTGTCTTCTGGTGAGTGCATGCAGTACAGCTAATGTGATGAAACAGCGAACTCTGACTTGGCAAGAAGAATACAGGCGATCAGCAAACCACAAAAGTGGCTGGTAAATGAGCATGAATTTCGTGCATTTAGAGGAAGCATCCGAGAAAACAAATCCTGC